CACGGGCAGGAGCTGTTCCTGGATATGAGAGCTGACCCAGCTGATCATGGAGCTCAGATTTTTTTTGCTGATTAGTATTGTACTGTTGTTGATTTCAGTGGAAGTATCTTCATCTTCTGATTATTGTGGTTGGTTTTTAGTGAATTGTCTTTGATTTGAGTTTTTATTGAAAAAAAGGATAGTTTTTAGTGCGCTCTGTATGAGATTTTCTCTTGTCATTGAAACTTACAGATTGAGAAATTGGGTTCTTAGCTACTTGCTGAGTAATTTTATGTTCTTGAGACTAATTTTGTGTTGTAACAAGTGGTCGTGCCGTTTGTTTGCTGATTTTATCATTAGTAAAAAATCGTGGTTATGGTTTGCAAAAAAGTTTCCATTTATAAATTTTGGTTTGCCAAATGGACGAAGTGTAGTTTTCGACCATAGGTTTGATAATCTAATTGTGAGTTTTTTTGAACGAAATATGTTTTACTGTTGACGATTGTTGTTTGTGCTGTGGTGTTGTAATTGTTGGCTGTATAGGTGAAAGACTTTGTTCTATTGTAGTGAGTATTGTTTCAACATTTTACTCATTTACAAAAAACGACGGTGTTTGGATATGTTGTTGTGTCAGGTTCGTAAGTATGTTTAATTTTTGTGTGTATTTCTTGTGTACTCAAAAATGTTGAATTTGGACTGTTATTGAATATCCATACAAAATCTGTTTCTTCTGCTAGCATTGTTTCGTCATCACTTTGTGGTCTAAAATTTTTTTCTTGCTTGTGCAATTAGATCTAGTAAATGTAGCAAGTAATCTATTATGAACCATGATAGAACTTTTTGTAGATCAACTTTTTTAATTTGTCATGTTTCAATGTCAGTGAGTGTTTCACAAATTGAGTCTAAGTCGTGAACAGAGATTAACTTCTCGTTTTACTATTGCCTGTCTAGATGTTTGTGGTGGAGATACATAAAATGTTTTGTTAGCTTCTAATATTGAAACGTAACTATAAATTATAGAGAAAACATCATTCGTGAAGATTGTGTTTGCTCGTTGTGAGTTTGATGTTTGATATTTTCAGCATATTCTATAAAAAATTGTGAAAAATCTAATTCTCTATCTTCTGTTTGTTTTTGGTGTGATGATTGATTGGATGAAATTGGTAGTAAAATTTCAGTCGTCAATAAGCCATAGTGTGAGGTTATAATACTGATACGTGGCAGATAGTGATCTAGTACTTGACTCCAGATTTTTATTTTATAGATTCTTGTTTGCATAGGCCAATTCATTTTTGTAACTTGTTTCTAGGATTAAATTGAGCAAAAACTGTACTTGTCCTGTTGACGGATCGCATTTTGGGTCAATGACGAAGGAAAAGATAGTGTCCTCGTCCAAGTTGTAGTCCCATTGAGTCATTTTTTATTGCGGTCTTACGATTAATGTGCAATTTTTAGTATGTTTTATCGGTTGATTGCAATTGTTTAACCTCACTGTCTTGCGTATATATGAAATGTTCATTCTGTGTTTGCCTTTTATGGATGATGATGTGTTTTGGCTTCTGATTTGGAAAAGTATCTTTGACTGTCAAATGGTTTAATCTTGTCGTGTAGTAGGTCTCGTAGATCTTGGATTTTGTATTGCGGTTGGGTCAGATTCCAAAACAGAAAGTTTTTTTTTCATCTGCTTTCGCTTTAAATTTTTTGGCTTCTTTTTTGTTTGCTTTTTTACCTGCTACATCTTATTTTTAGCGGTGTTATTACGAGATTGTACCTTGCGTCTATAACTAAACAAATCTAATTCTCTATCTTCTGTTTGTTTTTGGTGTGATGATTGATTGGATGAAATTGGTAGTAAAATTTCAGTCGTCAATAAGCCATAGTGTGAGGTTATAATACTGATACGTGGCAGATAGTGATCTAGTACTTGACTCCAGATTTGTTTCCTTATTGTTTGTTTGTTTCCCAAATTCTCTATTGACATAAACGTTGAATGACTGATACAAAATCAGTGTGTCCATTACTGACTCTTTAACAGTTACTTTTTACAATTTTTTTGAAGTTATCTTACTCCTTGGGATAGATTTTTGTGAACGAACGGGTTGGGGAGGGAGTATATCAATTCGTCAGAATGATTTTGTACTGCTCTCGAGTGTGTAAATTTAAATTTAAAAAAAGTTAGTCTTATTTAATTGGGGGTTTGATTTCACATCAAGGGTTTGAGAATACTAAATCAATCCACAAGGCTCAGAATGCTTAGAACGCAAGTAAATTGTTAGATACCTTTTTAGTTCTTATTAGTGTTAAGATTTGTTCTAGGCCTGAGTCGATTAAGAGGAAGGGCTCAAGTGAAGGATGAGTAACCGAAGTTCTTCACTGCTTAGCTCAATTGAAATTGTTAGTGTTTAGAAAAATCAATGAAAATCCTGGGTCGTATAGAAGGGTTGAAATGTGAATCGACGTTTGAAGTCGTTACACACTAGTTTTAAAAGGTAAGGGATAAAGAATTTTTTAAATTCATCCAAGAAAAGCCTTCATGAACAGATGTTTAAAGGAATAAAAAATTACATTTATAAAACTAACTTCAAATTTTTAAATGTAGATTGAAAAATTGGAGCTCCAAGGATAGCCTTGATGATCTGATTGAAAAATAATCTTTAGTTTTAAGTTAAACAAGGATAGGCCTAACATTTTTATTAAAAGGTTGATAACTTAAAGAAAAGTCAGGGTTTAAATTTTGATGAGGTTAGTTGTCTAAAGTAGTTTCGTGTGTTGCAGGTGAAGAAAAACAATAACAGGAAGAAACGAATTTTTTTATATAAAATATTCTTAAACGCTAAACTAACTATTTGGTTCAATAAATTTGAAGTTAGTTCAGTTTTTACAACAAATACTGTAGATTTGAAAGTTTTGAGGTAGATGGTAGGATTGTAGTCGACTGGGTATGTTTATATTTGTTATTTATATATCGTAGTGAGATATATGGCTTTGGAAAGAATCTTACTGCTCTATTTATTGCTATTCATTTTAATGAGTGGACATGTACTGCATAAGTAGTTTTGCAGAGAAATAATTGTTGTAGTCTGCTTTTACGTTTCACAATCTAGAGTTTCGGTCTGTCGTTCTGGTTGTGACCTGGTATCAGCTTTATTATTCGTTTGATTTGATTGGACTTATTGAGACGTGGAATTAAGCTAATTGTATTATCAATTTGGTTTATCACTGTGTTGGGCGTTTTTTGATCTAATTTGACTATTCTATTTTGTTTTTGCCAAATATAAACCAGCAGAGGTCTGTTCGGGACTCTTTTGGTCGCACCAGATGAGTTTAGGTCCGGGGTGGCTTTATCATACAGTAATTTTGGATAAAGTACTCCATCTGTTCGTCACGCTTATTTTAGACCAGATAGGTTCGTGCAACTTCTTAGTCTAACACCAATCCTAATCTTACTCTTATACCTCCTAGTCTCCATAGATCTGGTATATACTGATTTCGTTGCTAGTTTTAGAATCAAGAAGGAGCAACTGTTTCCTTAGTTATTTTTTTTCTCTGGCTGAAACTAATAATAGTTTTAGCCTTACAATTTTTTTATAAATTTTAGTCATCGATCATGATTGGTTAATTTTAAAAATTTTACAGAGGTAGTTCTCGAGAAATTAATTGGATGAATAAAGGTTTGTTTTGAACTGGTTTCAAGTGGCCGCAGTTTTTTTTCAACCAAAAATTTGTTTTAAATTATCAAGTCTACTGTTAAAGAAATTCATTTATTGACTAATCTTTGCGGTTTCTTTATTCCATAAAAGCAGTTGAATCTTTGCAAACCCGAGAATTCTTACTTATAGCTTTCTCAGTGAAATCTTTGGGGTGAAAAGAGTGACGGCTTTTACAAAACTTATTTTTTTAAAGGGAGGTTTTCAAAAACTGTTTCAAATTTTACCAAATAAGTGAAATAAAACGAAACGCCTGATCTGTATTAGTGTCTGTGCATTAAATTGAAAAGTAAAAGCATTCAAAACTTCATTCACAATCGTCAAAGCCTCAAGGAGTTTTATTGCTTGCCAATTCATGGTGAAATCCAGACACACACAATTTAAAATTTGACCTTGAATTAGAGAATGAACTATCTTCAGAAGACACGTCATTTTTTTTTTGCGCTTTCCAATAGCAAAAAATCGAAGCGTATTAAATGTTGACAGGCAAATTTTATTGCCAAAGCCAGAGGAGCCACAATCTTAAGACTTGTTAGTTCCGCATCTGAACTCTTCTTATTGTGCTTTTGGACTCCAATTACCACTTAAATCGAAAGAACTGGTAAAAGGCAGTGAATGAAATAAAGTTCTTCCGATTCCGCAGAACTCTTATCATCATCGCTGAAATTTTTACCTAATTTGCAAAGGTGTGTTTTTATAATAATTGTTCACATAAGTATATTTCTGTTTTTTATCTGACAAAATCTTCCACCAAAAAATGGTCTGCTGCCTAAGACAAACGTCTCAAGATAAAGTATCTAAAAATATTACTAGTCAGAACATAATTATAATTTTCTATAGTAGCAAATTTTACAAACAACAAATGTTCTTTTTACAGATATTTACATATTAATAATATAAATAGAAGTTTTCAGTCAATTATTTAACATGAATCTAGATATTTGAGACGGCCATTTCAACTGCAAAACCCTGTTAAAGATCATACGGCAAATGAGACAAATAAAGTTGATGAAACATCGAAAACCGAGATCATAACATTGAATGATTTTTGAAAAGTTTTGATCAATTTGTAAATCTGTTTTTAGTATTTTTTGACTTCTAATTTCTGGCCCATTTGTTTAATTAATTATTGAAAGAATATCTCCTCTCCCATTTGAATGCATATTGATTGAAGTTCAGTCATCCATTCCTCCAAAACTAACAAAATATTTTTCAAGACTTCTCTATTTTGCTGTGAATCAGGGTTCCATTCGAATGACTCAAGAGCGAAAGCAAGCGTAAATTTGAGGAATTGAGACATACTCGATGGAATGAAGTACCCACGGGATTTGATATCAACCGCATTAGGCTCAGAACTTTTTAAAGCTGTCAAATTTTCCTTCGCTAAGTTGGAGATACTTTCAGCCAAATGAATTCGTTGAGCAACCATATTTCCCAACTGCAAACTTTTGGAACCCGACCGGACAGCTTGCGCATAATCGCTTCGTTTCTTTTCAATTTCTTTAAGTCGATCTAGAAAAGCAGCGTCGCCCACTTTGAGCGAGTCATGGTCATAGCAGCGTAAGCCATTTGTTTTTCCTCGCCACACATCTTGCTCAATCAGTTTTTGAATGTATGCGTTTGTTTCATGAAATTGCTTGTTTTCTTTTTCAACCATACGATTTACAGTTTGTTTTATTTCGTTGAGTCGTCTGTAGCTTCGATCCCAGTAAGGGTTAAGTTTGATGGCTTCACATGCAGCAAAAACTGCATAATAAATACCAGATTGAAAAGATTCCTCCTCCAAGTCGCCTTCAAATTTGTCTTCTTCCAAACAACATAAAATCATTTTGCAAATATTTGTTTGTAATTTAGCCATTTCTTTTTGATCGTTGAAAGCCGTCCTAAAGTCTGCTTTTTCGATGTGATCGTTTTGTTCTCGAGCTAGCAAGAAAAAACTGTTTTCGTACGTTTTGAGTGCACTCACATGATCTCTAAAACGATAGAGCTCGGTTGCTTTTCCCTTCCAATTCGCCCACTTGCTGCTGGGTCCGGATGTTGGGACTTCAGTTTTTTTTCCAAATATTACTTCCGCTGCTGTTTGCTCTTTTTTCTTGGCTTTTTCTTTGAGAAACTTATTGAAATTGGAAACATTATACAAATCATAAAAGAAACGTTCGTAATGGTCAATAGTTTTAAAAGCGAAAGTTCCGCGATGAAGATCTAATAAACTTTTTGTTTGAGAATAAAATGTCGCTGTAAGATCATGGAAATTTTCAGTATCGCCCACAATAATCACATCTGTAATTCCATAACGTATTAGTTCTTTTACATCTTCTTTTCTGTAGATGTCATCCAATTGGTAAACCAGCTTACCTCCTGGTCCCTCAAAGAACTGAATTGATTCGACGTTTGGATGTCCGATTGTTTGATCTGAAATCAATTTCTTTTTAAATGGCATGAATTTTTGAATGACACCTATGATGACAATTTTATCCATTCCAGAAGAGTTGAATGCGTTTTCCAATTGCTCTCTAATTCCCATCATTTGCGCAAATTCTTCTTTTTGAATATCAAGTTTAGGAAAACCAGTGCCTCGAACAATAACTAGTTTTTTCGTTGCTCTTGTGATGGCAGAAAAGAAATCAAGTGTATTTTTAATATCTCTCTCGTTGTATGTGGAGCACATTAGAAGAATAACTATTGGGAATTCGGCTCCTTCTACTTCATGGGTATTAAAGAACCAAACAGATGGTGACTCACTTTCAATCATTTGAAAAAAACAATCAGGCGCATATTTTTTGCGAAAAATTTGCTTTGGGTTACTTTTGACGGCTAAGCCGGCTATAACACGATTTAATAACTCATCCTGTATGTCCGCCACTACAGGTAAAAAGTCATAACCGTGTCTATTGACATAGTGTAAGATTGTGGAAATGCACTTATCGATAAAATCAGACAATGGATCCGAAAACTTTTGATCAGCAATGAAGGGTACAAGACAAATCTCTGGTTTCTCGCCGTAAAAGTTATGACCAGGTTTGCATTCCAAATTATTGGGATGAAATTTGTAAATTTTCATCCAATCGTTAGCAAAATTAGCTACCTCGGTTGTTGACCTCAGAGATACAGATAGAGCTTTGTGCTGAAACACAGGATGCTCGATCTTAAATTTTTCCGAAAGATGAGGAATTGACGTGAACAAGATACAATGTTGATTTTTTGCCAAACTGTCCACGCAAATAAGAGATGCACCTTCTATGACTGGCTTTGTTTTTTTGGCACTTCTGAAAAGAAAAACAAGCAAGCTTCGACAATAAAAAAATAGAGTTTTTTCAAAAAAATTGAGGTTAGTTTTGAGACTGATGACTTGTACAAAATTTAATGCTATCAAAAGTATCAAGTTTAATTATAGTAGTAAAAATTGTTTAAAAAATCAAACTTATCAGGAACATTTGGCTGCTGTGATTTTTATAGCATAAAATTGGGTACCACAAACAACGATCAGAAGGGGTTGCATGATTTAGAATTTCAATGCGGTCATTCGAGCAATAAAAAATTTCTAAAAAAATGTATCCTATTTTCATAGAACCAAATTTTTTTGATTTGTTGCTTTTATATCTTGCCATTAAATGCCATCAGGAAAAAAATTACAAGAAAAATGTAGCAGTTTGACGATGACCCACTTCTTTTTAACATTTACTCACTTGTTGAGTAATAATATCGACCGAAAAAGAATAGTCGAAACAGGGGTTTCAATCGAGCTCAAATTCAAAATTTACCTCTACCCCAAGATCGAAACATACCTCGAGCACGGTCGAAACATACCTCGAGCACGGTTGAAACATACCTCGAGCACGGTCGAAACAAACCTCGCGCACGGTCGAAACATACCTCGAGCACAGTTGGAACATACCTCGAGCACGGTCAAGCAAGGTCAAAAATACCGATTGTTTTGCGGTAATTCGGAGTCAAGGAGGAAATTTAAAAAGAAAAAAAAAAAAAAAAAAAAAAAAAAAACACGTACCCTTTTTTTGAACAATTCCGACTCAAATTCCTAACCAGTATTCCAAAAATTGGATAAAAAGTAGCTCAAATTTAGGTCATATCTACTACGAAATCAAATGGCCAAAAGCTCTGATCAATTCATTCTGATAGGAAAAAACATCACAAGTTGTTACCCGAAAAGCATAACTTATAACGTTTAAACTCGGATAACTTATGTTGTTTGAAAGCACTACCCGAATTATACCCAAATTCAGTCGAGCACGGTCGACAAAAATCTTGCTTGGGTCGTTCGAGCACAGTCGAGCACATTTGTCTCGGTCGAGCACGGTCGAAACAGACCGAATTTTGGCCGAGACTGTCAAAACATACCGATTTTTGGTCGAGACGGTCACAACATAAAGTGAGCACCTCGACTCGGTTTAGTATGTTTTTTTTTGTGGTGAGCCTACACAGATTTTTACTGATCTTGTTTTTTTTGTTTGCAAGTATAAGCGCTGTAATTTTTTCGCATTTAAATAAATACACTTTTTATAACTGTTTGTTGAATGAAAACAGCAATGATTTTGAATAAAACGTCATCAGACATCATTCCTGAGAATTCAATTTGAAAAAAAAATGTTATCCTTGTGTATGAGAATGTCTGAGTTCTTAAAGTTTTTAAAATATTGCTTGTTCGGTTATTTCGCATCCAGTTGATTCAAAAAATATGTTAATTTTGAACCCAAATCAATTACCTTCTACAATTTTCTTTTTTCATGATGAACTCGTCGCTCATCACAAGCCTTGATTGTCTTTGTTCAACTCCGATCCGCTCACTCGCATAATCCTGGAGCTCATGAACTGGACGGTGGTAGAAGCTGTTTTTACGTTGAAATTCTTTAAGAAAATCTAAAACAGAGTCATTTTATTTCTCATAATGAGGATGGCTGATTTTTTATGAGTTGCAAGTAGTTTTGTAATCTTCCTTAAGAACTTGCAATTCTACAAATGATTACGCTGACAGTCAAACAATTCTACCAAAAGTACTTTTTTTACTCTTAACACATAACAATTAATTAACCAACACAGTGCTGATTTAAATTACCCGGACAAAACGACCAAACTTTGAGTTTTCGAACGCGTTTTCTCTCAAATTGGCTTAAGATTGGACGAAAAGTGAACAGAACAAAAGTTGGTTGGAATTGCATTGGAATTAAAATGGTGCAAATTTTTCCCCGAAATTCTCAACCAAAAAATTCCAACAAAAATTGGTCATTTTGACTTTTTCAAGAAATCAAAAATTACGCTAAAACTACTTTATAAATTGATGAAAAACATAAATCATAAGGAGCCTCTTACACAGTTCAAAAAACTCTACAATGGTTAAGTCTCCAAAAATTTGCTTTTCGGTTTTAAATAGTAAAAATCACATTTCTTGACTATCAAGCAAAATTATCTTTTCTCTTATACAGGTTTTTGGAGATTTAACGCTGGTATAACTTTGTTGGGCTGTGTACGAGGCTTCTTGTGATGTAGATTTCTCATCAATTACCAAAGTAGTTTCAGCGTAGTTTTTGATTAATTGAAAAATGCCAAAATAATCCATTTCTGGGGTAAAATTTTGCTTTAGAGTTTCGGAGAAAAAAATGCACCATTTTAAAAGTGCTAAAATTCTGCGCTAATTCTAAATCTGAGTTTTTGTTCTCTTCACTATTTGCCTAATCTTAACCCAAACTGAGAAAAACGCGTCAATTCAAGTTTTGTTCGTTTTGTCCAAATAATTTAAATCAGCACTCTATATGCAAGGAAAATGAACTAAGAGCTGCCTTCTACAGATTAAAAAGGTTCACCAATTACTGAAAAATTGCTCCATCCGTTTAAATGATGACGTTTATTTGGGCTTCAGGTTGAGTTTGGCGGAGATTAGGTTGGGCTTCAGGTTGGGTTTCAGGTAGTATTAAAATTCTCCATTAAAACTCGCAGTTCTAACTGTATCAATTGGTAAACCATTAATTTGCATGGTTTTGTATGCGAGGATGGAGGCTGTTTATACATTCATATGAGCCCACTACTTCAATGTGAAAGGTTGCAAAGTCCTAATTTACTTTGCTACTGACGAAAATATCTAGACAGGAAAACTTAGAGGAAAAACGCTGCCCAATAAGGCAAGACACTCTTTACTCGTACAAAATAGTCTGCTTTATCCGCCTACCAAAATTTTGTTGAAAATCCCTAGCGTTTTATATGATTGGCTGGAGAAGAGAATATTTTAAGTTGAGAATTATCTCTCTCAGAATTTATTTCTCTGCAATTAGTCGACACCGGATACTGGAATATGATTTTCTCTAACATCAACAGAAAAACTCGATCGGCCCTTGAAAACAGCAAATCGTCTGACCGATATTCGTATTGACTGATCATTTCATTTATTTTCAAAGTTTAAAGTTCTGGAACCAGTTCTAAACTAGTATTTATACACCAATTAAATTACTGATGGAATATCACTTAAAAATATTTATAACTAACCAATCATATTCCATCTCTAACATTAACACTTATTTGTAAGTGCTGAAACTGTTTGTAGTTTCAGCACCAGAACAATTTAAATAAAACGTTGAATATAGTTGTTCTCCTTCTGGATAAACTCCAGGAACTAACTAGCATAAGCCAGTGTACACTAGATCTATTGAGACTAGGAGATATAAGAGTAAGATTAAGATCGGTATTGCACGAATCAATCTGGCCGAAAATAAGATAGCGCGACGAGCAGACGGTGTACCTTATCTGAAATTACTCTATGAGTATAACGAATAGATCATAACTCATCTGGTGCGACCAAAAGTCTCGAACAAGACCTTAACTAACTTAGATTTAGAAAATAGAACTTAAAATTAGACAATTGCAAAAATGCAAAAGTAATAGATGGAATAGATAATTTAATAAAAATGTCTCTACGTCTCAAAACGTTTACGCCAAACTTTCAAACAATACAAGAAATACCAGCTATTGAAAGAAGACCAAGATCGTGGCGTGAAAGAAAATCAGGAATCGAACCACTCTGCAACATGATAGTATGACGAAAACGGGAACAAACATTTGTCTTTAGAGTACTTTATGCAGTAAACTTAAATTTTCATTAGCTGACATGAAAATAATTTGAAGAAAAAATTCTTCAACAACCTTACTGCTGCTAAACCTACTATCTATACAATAACGACTGATAAAAAGAGCACAAGTCGTTCCCCCCAAAATCTACAGTAAATCAAATTTTTCAATGAAAAATTTATTAATTACAAAAAACAAAATTTAGTTAGTACTAAAAATCACTGTTAGTTTAATAAATTATCTGATTTTCTTCAACCCAGTTTCATCGCCTAGAACATAACAGCATAAATTCAAGAAACTAATCTCATCAAAACCCTAACTTTTAATATTTTAAACTCAAAACTTTTAAATTAAAATTTATCGAGGCTTTTCCTTGCTTTCAATATCCCCTTTTTCTTTCATAAACAGATCATCAAGGGATCCCTTGTATCTTTAAATTCAATTAAACCTAAATTTAATTTATTGTTTTACTGATCATCAAGGCGTTCCTTGGATCAAATCAGAACAATTTTGTACCCCCTTCCTAAAATTTTAAAAGTGTCTAACGACATCAACCGGCGATTCAATACCCAACCCCTACAAACGACCCAGGGCTAACAGAAAATTTTGAAAAACTAACCTTTTTAATTAAGCTAAACAGTGAAGAGCTTCGGTTACTCATCGTTCACTTGAGCCCTTCCTCTTAGATGACCCAGGCTAAAACCCTTAACAAATTAGTAAGTCATAAAATAGTAATTAACGATCTACTTGTGTTCTAATTATATCTGAACCTTATGGAATGATTTACTATTCTCTAAACCAAATCACAAATCACAACCCCTAGGTAAGATTCAGTAGGTAACTCACAGATTAAAAATATTCACGAGAAAGTAAAAAAAATCATTTTTACGAATTTTTTTTCTCTCTCTCCAACCCGTCAACCACGACCGACAATTTATGTCCCAAGTTATGATAACCACAGAAAAACCGTACGGTCTTACAGTTTAGGAAATTAAAAACTCTAACCGCAAATATTGCATCCATCATTCTAAACCTTATGTCAAGAGATAATCTAGGTAGTAAACTGACAATCGTATTTCATAATTGTTTAACTAAAAACGAAAGAGACGACCTTGTAATCACACCAAACAGACAAACAAAAGGACATATTAGGTCACAAAGACAAACACGAAAAAAGAAAATCATAACAAAATAAAAACAAATTACCAAAAGAAGATTTTCAAAATAAAGAAACGCAGTATCAGAATCTGACACAAACACAATAAAGAAAGTTCAAAAGGTTCAATTTAAAATGTTCGATAAATAAAAATAACCCGATAGACGACCAAATACATTTTTCTGAATCAGAAGCTACAACACCATCATCAATAAAAAAAAAAGTCATAAATCAACAAAGCAATACGTATTTATAATTGGAATCAACCAACAAGACATATTGAAAATTATACACTAACAGTTTTACAATATAAAACATGATCGAATACAACGAAAATTGGGATGATAACTCGATACTCCTTTTTTTCAAAAACCACAAATTGATGCCGCCCGAGGACAAGTACAATTTGTAACAACTTAATTGTAAGTTTATTTGAAAAAGGAAATAGCCCATGTAAACAAGAACTTTCTGAAGTAGGAATGAAACGACAAATCCTTGACCACTATCTCAAAGATATATGTAAAATCACATCACACTACGGTATATTTACAATTGAAATTGCGTCACCAAAATCAAATCACACAAGACACCAAAGACAAACAGACGATATAGATATAAAATTCTTGAAAGTTTTTACAGACTACATAAAAAAAGACAACATCAAAATTCACAAACGTTGTATTTTTAATCATCTATAGCTATCTATCCATACTAGAATTGAAAAAACTCAAAGCGAGTCACCAACTCAAACATCCCGACATACAACTATAAGAAAAGAAATCTGTTTTTTTTCACAAATTTTTTGAATACATTCCGTGAAAAACTCAGTAGTAACGAAATCTCACAAAGTCATAGACATGATCTACAAAAAATACTAGCATGGTTTATGACTGACTATTTTGTCTATAACATTGATCTCATAGCTTTATTAAGAAAAAGTTTTCGGTCACAAAAATCAGACGATGAAACTGTATAGGCAGATGAAACAGATTATGTTTGGGACCCTGATGGGTCTCATCCACTATTTTTAAATATACCAACTGATATATCAAGTCAAACGATTGCCATCATATCTATCAATAATGATTACGTTAGAATAACTCCACTTGCTATTGATGCAACACTTTTGAATTATAAAACACTATTCACTGACAGAACAGGAAATAAAAGCTTACGTTATACATTCATTAATACACAAGCAATTTTAAATGGAACAAGAACTCTTACATGACAAGATATTTAAACTCCATCGCATTTCGTTAATGAAAAAATAGTCGGAACAATGCCAGCAACAACGCAAGCAAGCGTTTCCCCCATTCAACCTACTTTTACAACTCCAAAAAACTAAAAATACAGCATTTCCGCAAACAACTATACAAATCCACGGTAAAACTTTCAGTTATTCCAAAATACTCACGAAAAGATTATCAAACATTTAAACCAGTAACGACCTCAAAGCAAACAAATAAACAAAAAACATCTAATAGAAACAACTTTTCAGATCATAACTATAACTTGCAAAATCCAAAACAACAAAACCCTTCTATATGGACAGTCTAAGCCAATCACAAGCACAAAATTACAATAAAAACGTACCACAACAAGTCTCTCACAAAAAATTTTTACCGATCAACCACGAGCTACATTG